GGTGGAAAATACATTTATTCCAATATTGCAAATAAGTACATTTTTGAGGTTCTTCACTTGAGTATTCCCATTTGATTAAAACTTCTACTCCACTATATTTCATACATAAATAATGTACTTTTTATATCACTGTATGCAAAATGTATAGTCAGTTTTTAATGCATTGTGATAGGTGAAAATACCCAATGGACTATGAAGCACCTCTGCACAAAACTGAAACCAGGACCTTTACTTGTAATGGAGCATTTTCATAAATGGTTTTACTACTTTTATTTAATTAAGGATCCAAATGCTTCTTCCACCACTACACATAATTTATGCTAATTAGATACCAATGAGTACATTTCCAGGCAGCTGTTGTTGACAAAAATTTTCATTTGCTGTAGTTTGATAAGACGCTGTTAATTAGCTTACTGTAATTGTATCCACAGTATAGTGTGTAGTCATCCATGTATACAGATTAAAACTCCTGTCAGTGTAGTGAAGTTAGCTGGCTTCTTTTATTTCTGTAGGTATCGGGAGCTGGAGGAGAAGCTTGATTACCTGCAGAAGAGTTCAGCTCAGCGGGACAGAACTGAAGCTCTGCTCAAACAAAAGGATAAGGACTGTGCTCAGGTATGTACTGCAATATGAAAGCTAGAAGCAGCAGTCTTAAAATATCATCAGTCAATCTGTTAGCTCAGAGCTTCTTGTATTTTTGCAGCTGGCCAAGGACTGTGAGGCTCTGAAAGCTCAAGCAACTTCCCTATTAGGAGAGCTGAATGAGAGACAGACCTGCCTGGAGAAAAGCGAGCAGGAACGCAAACAGCTAGAAGAAAAGTACGTTTTCATATCAGCAAAAATATGTACAGTACGGAGAGACTTCTCTGAGTTCCCCTGTAGCTGTGCAAGTGTGCAAATGTGTTTCTCTTTCTTTGTGTGTAGGCTGTGCAGTAAGGTGAAGTCCCTGCAGGTGGCAGAGCGGGAGCTGGAGCAACAGAGGAAGCAGCATCATGTGGCCATGGACAAGCTGCTGCTGCAGAAGGACAACCTGGAGCATGCCCTGAAGACAGAGAGACATGTTGTCACAGAGGAGAAGTGGGTTCCACACACAGATAGCAGTGACCCAACTGGTTATTACATGTCTGCACTATTGTGACATTTAGAAATATTTAGGTGCTTTACAGGGGATTTTCTCTAAACAAGAAAAAAAATGTTAACATTTTGAATACTATTATACTGTATTAAACATTTGGTGAACAGAAAAATAGAAACCATTCCCAAAACTGTGCTAGCTAATCTTCTGTGCAAAAGATTTTAAAGATATTTATTTCTACTTTGCAGGT